CCTGAGCCTGCAGGTTCAAGACCTGCCTGGGCAACTTGGCGAGACCTCATCTCTACAATAAGTCAAAAAATCAGCCGGGCCTGGTAGCGCACGCCCGTAGTTCCAGCTACTTGGAAGGCGGAGGCGGAAGGATGGCCAGAGCCTGGCAGGTCGAGGCTGCGGTGGCCGAGAGCGTGCCACTGCACTCCAGTCTGGGTGACAGGGTGAGACTCCGACTCAAGAAAAATAAAAAAACAAATATCAGTAGCTGAAATCAGACAAGTCCAGAGTCTGGGGTGCAGGAGGGGACCGGGGGAGACAAGGCCCTGAGTGGTGTAAGGGACCGCTGGACCAAAGACCACCCCGGCTTATGAAGCCCAAACTTGAGAAGGTGCCCCTCCCAGGCTGCTGTCACATGCTCCCTGGGGCAGTCATTCTGGTTGTTTGACCCCAGTTCTTTCTGATCAGTCACAGCCTTCCTACTGATGGGTCAAGGCCATGCAGCATCCATTGCAATCGACTTTGACTCTCACCCCAGGTCATCTGCCCACTGAAAAACATGAAGCGGGGAACAAGAGGTTAGGGGCAAAAATCCATCTGCCAGGGAGCTGACAAGGAAGCCTGATATCTCTAGAGATTCCGGCAAGGAGAAAAGAGCTGATCCGGGTTAACATAGGCTTGCCCTATGTGGGTCTGGGGTTCCCGTCTATATACCGTGTGTTCATGTGGGCAATACGGGCTAAGAAGTCAAATGGTATTGGTCCCAGATGGGTAGCTCTCCCAGCACCTGGCAAAAGCCAAGGCAATCCCCTCTGGAAGAAAATTTTTTGGTTTTTTTTTTTCTCATTTATAGGTACTTCTTTATTAGATAAGAAGTGAACCGGCCAGGCGCAGTGGCTCACCCCTATAATCCTAGCACTTTGGGAGGCCGAGGTGAGAGGATTGCCTGAGCCCATGGGTTCGAGACCAGCCTGGGCACGTGGTGAGACTTCGTCTCTACAATAAATCAAAAAATTGGCTGGGCATGGTGGCACGTACCTGTAGTTCCAGCTACTTGGAAGGCTGAGGAGGAAGGATTGCCTGAGCCCAGCAGGTCGAGGCTGTGGTGGCCGTGAGTGTGCCACTGCACTCCAGCCTGGGCGACAGAGTGAGACTCCCACTAAAAAAAAAAAAAGGAAAAGAAGCGAACTATTCTCACTAGAGACCAACGAAGGAAATTAACAACCTTATAATTCTGGATAAAATTCTGGATAACTTCACGATAAGGAATATCTACATTTTCAAAATGTTGGGAGGTCTCCCCAGGTACAGTCTTGGGGAGGCAAGTTCCTTATGATAATGTTTTGCATTTTATGCTTTAATTTTGCTGGTAATCTAAAATTAATACATCGTTGTTCGGGATGACCCAGAGAACCATCTTAAATGACAGTCTTGCCACCTGACCGCAGCCTCTGTCCTTGTGTTTATTTTTTATTTTTTGTAGAGATGAGTACTCACTATGTTACCCAGGCTGGTCTTGAACTCCTGGGCTCAAGAAATCATCCCACTTGGCCTCTCAAAGTGCTGGGATTATGGTGGCACAATTATGATTCACCACAGCCTCAAATTCTTGGGCTCAAGTAATCCTCCCACCTCAGCCTCCTGAGTAGCTAAGACTATAGGCGTGCCCCACCCACCATGCTGGGCTAATTTTTTTTTATTTTTTGTAGAAATGGGATCTTGTTCTGTTGCCAAGGCTGGTGAAAGTCTTGAACACAGACCCCTCAGGATTCATTTTCAAGACACACGATGAACGGCTGCGGTTACTTTTTACAAAAGCCTTTTCTGAAAAGAAAAATCAACAGTTCAACTGAAAAATGGGCCAAGGCCACATGGAGACCATTTATGAAAAGGAGTACTTGAAATGTTCAATCTCACCGGGCGCGGTGGCTCAAGCCTTTAATCCCAGCACTTTGGGGGCAAAGGGGAGAGGACTGTCTGAGCCCAGGGGTTCCAGACCAGCCACGCCTGTAGTTCCAGCTACTTGGAAGGCTGAGGCGAAGAATCACCTGAGCTGATCGATGCTGGGGTGGCCGTGAGCGTGCCACTGCACTCCAGCCTGGGTGACAGAGTGAGGCTCCAACTCAAGAAAAAAAAATGTTCCATCTCACTAATAATTTTCTTTTCTGAGTCAGAGTCTCACTGTGTCGCCCAGGCTGGCATGCAGTGGTACAATCACGGCCACCACAGCCTCGACCTGCTGGGCTCAGGCGATCCTTCCACCTCAGCCTTCCAAATAGCTGGAACTACAGGTGTATGCCACCATGCCCGGCTAGTTTTTTTTTAATTGTAGAGACGAGGTCTCGCCAAGTTGTCCAGCCTGGTCTCAAACTCCTGGACTCAGGCAATCCTCTCGCCTCCGCCTCCCAAAGTGCTGAGACTACAGATGTGAGACACTCAATCAGCACAATCTCACTAATAATTTTTAAGTGTGCATAATTAAATATGGATATCCTTTGAGTTCAACTCATATATAAATTTATTTTTATAAGTCTCATGGGACAAATACTAGTAAATCAGTGCATATTCATAGATTGTATGAGTAAAAGTATAACATGTATACCCTAACTAGATGTTAACTTGCTAATTAGACCACACTTTAAAATGTTTTTCCAATCTAATTCAACAAATGAACTTTTAGGAAATTGTTGTAAGAAAATCTTATGTGTGCCAAACATTTTACCTATAAGAATTTCCCCTGCAATATTATTTATGTATACATGTGCAAATCCACATATATACACATAATTTTTTTCCTGTTTTTTTTTTTGTTGTTGTTTGTTAAACTGGGGTCTCACCCTGTTGTCCAGACTGGAGTGAAGTGGTACAATCACATCTCACCACAGCGTCAAACTCCTGGGCTCAAGACATCCTCCAGCCTCAGCCTCTCAAGTAGCTGGGACTACAGGCTCACACCACCACACCCAGAAATTTTTGTAGTTTTAGTAGAGACGAGGTCTCACTATATATTGCCCAGGCTGGTCTCAAACTCCCGGGCCCAAGCAGTCCTCCCACCTTGGCCTCCCAAAGTGTTGGGATTATAGGCGTGAGCCACCATGCCTGACTGGTGCAGTTTTTGTTTGTTTGTTTGTTTTTTGAGTCGGAGTCTCACTCCATCACCCAGGCTGGAGTGCCATGGCTCGTTCACGGCCACCCCAGAGTTGAGCCCTTAGACTCTAGCAATCTTTCCACCTCAGCCTTCCAAGTAGCCTTCCAGCTTCAGGCGCACGCTACCACGCCCGACGAATTTTTTATCTTATTGTAGAGACAAGGTCTTGCCTAGTTGCCCAGACTGGTCTCGAACCCACGGGCTCAGGCAATCCACTCGCCTCAGCCTCCCAAAGTGCTGGGATTACAGGCTGAGCCACCGAGCCCAGCCTGGTGTAGTTTTGAATTGCATTTTTCTTATGTAAAGTTGAGCATCTTTGCATTTGTTTAATAGTCCTTTTTGATATATCTTTTCTTAGATTGTTCAAGTCTTTTGTTCATTTTTCTATAAGATTTTTTGTTCTTTATTTCCGCAATTTTTAAAAGCTCATTATAAATTTTGTACATTGTCTCCTTATCTGTCATATATGTTATGAATATTTCCTCTTTTTTTGCCATGCGAAAGTTTTTTTTTTATTTTATTATTATGTAGTCAAGTATATCACTCTTTCCTTTTATTACCGCTGGATTTGGAAGCATAGTTGTTGTTTTTTAAATCCCCTCTAGAAACATCTCACAGGTGATTTAGGTTTGATCAACAGCTTGCATCTTCCACTTCCCTGAACAAAAGCCCTGGTGAGCCCAGTCCAGACCATCTCTCGAGTCTTCTTCTTTTTTTTTTTA